CTTCTTCTTCTTCACTCCCTTCCCCTTTCGTTCCTGCCCCCCCCCCCTCCTCTTCTTCTTCATCCCTTTCTCCCTTTCGTTCTGCCCCCCCTCTCCCCTCTTCTTCAATCCCTTCCCCCTTCGCTCTCCCCCCCCTCCTCCTCTTCTTCTTCAGTCCCTTCCTCCATTTTTTTCGATGGTTTTAGCTTTTAAATTTTTTCACAGCCCTTTCAAATTGGGGTAGAGGAATAAGTCAAAATTCAAAAGACCTAATTCTCTGCTCATGTATTTTTCATGGATAGCTAACTTTCTTTAAAAGAGGAGTGAAGGAAATAGTGGTACTCATGGTGGAGAAGCCATGGCAGGTGGGTTATTATTTTAAGAAGGTTGAGTGGGTGGGTTTGAAGAAGGGAGGAGGGGTTTTCTTTAATTTTAATTTTTTGCTTATTTTATTTTATTTTTTGTTTAAGAAATTAAAATTTTGTTAAATAATATTATTTTGGCATAGAATCTGATGTGGATGCTGATTTGTCATCCACGTCAAGCAAGTGAGCTTCACGCGATTCCGAAGAGTTTAAAAGTCTTGTTTTTATTAAGTTGAAGTGTCTAGATGAAACTTTATGGAGTGTAGGGACCGGGATGACAAACCGGAACAAGTACAAGTGTCTCCCAGGCTATTCTGCCTTTTGTTGTTCTTGTTCACTATCCTCGAGGCCGCCCTTGCTCGAGGTCGAGGTCTGCTTACACGACTGGTTTGATTTAACTTATTTCTTTAGTTTATACGTTTGATTCCTAGTTTATCAATTAGTATTGGATTAAATCACATATCTTTAAAACCTCAAAACAAGTTTAATTATTACTCGGATTTTAGAGTAAACAATATGTAATACATCTCACAAATTATTGATATCTAGTAAAACAATCCGAGATAGAGTACAAGTGAATCAGAAAATATTATCGTATATTGGTGAATTATATCAATGGAATAATACTAAAGAAATTCTTGAATGGAATGGGAAATGGGGACGATCTATGCTACCGGCACGAAGGTCCATTGGATTTAGCATTAAAAAGCAAAGGCGAAAGGTGATTGCAAAGACGCGCAATTAACAGACTAATGTATTAAAAGTGCATTATGATCTTTTTTATGAAAGCAAACCATCATCTTTGCAAGTTGTTCTTGTTGTGAAAAAACAAAAACAATTATGCTCCACTTTCATATGATACACCATATTATTCAAGAGTCCAGTAAATTATTCATAATATATTTGAAATCTTGTGATTCAACATTGTCTGCGCAATGCTTTGATGTAAATTTGGATCTATGAATAACATTTAATATAAGTTATTTTTTAGTCTCTTGAAATAAAGATTCGACATGTATCAATATTAGTTATAATTTGGCATATAGGCAATTCCTCAAATAATTGTTTACTATGAAGGAATTTTATAAAAGAAAATAAGTGGTTTGCTAACTTATTTTTTAATTTTAATGTCAGCTGGATGATTGAAAATCTGAAAAAAAAAAAAAAGACTTTTTAAGGCTTGGTATTGATATCATAAAGTCGGATGTGGTTGAATGAAATATAATAAAATGTAAGGGTTGTTTAGTGCTAACGATATGTGTAAGAATCGGAATAATCTTATGAAAGAAAATGACTTCGTGGACAAGTGAGAGAAATTATTTTTCCCTTTTTGATAGAAAATATTTTTCTGACCTACAACCAATACCAAGTAGCAGCCAACAAATTTGTATTGATCAAACATTATTTTTGGACCAGTTTTTCGAAAAAAGATAAATGGGACTATAGAAACCCATTCAGTCATAAAAAAGAGGATTTGTTTGAGTATCGAGGAGTCAAGAAATTTAGGCCAAAATACCAAATGAAAGTAGATTTTTTATCGTTGGTGTAATATAGAACTTAGTTGATTTAATATGTAAAACGAACAACTACAATATAGAATAAGGTGGAGATCAGCTCATGAACCACAAGCTTTGTTGACTAACGCGTTTTAATTAGAGGTTAGAAAGTAGAATAAATCAATATTTGTCCTGTTATAATGAGAACTAGACTTTTCTAACAGGTGCTGGTGACAATATTAATTAAGCATGTGATATAACTTGAAAGCTAGAAAAAAGCATTAAAACATTACCAATGATATCACGACACTCTCAGAAGGATCTGGTTTGTTCATATTTCCACCACAAATGATTTCTTCTAACCATAAAAAATTAATTCTAGAACTATAGAATTTGACTGATCAGCCACTAACAGCCAACAGCTACCAGCCCACTAACTTTAAACAAAATTGTGTACTTTTAACTCTCTGCCTTCCAACTATTTTATTAAGTACGGCGACCTTGCATGCACATTGATTATTTCACTATAGATATTATCTCCCACAAGTATAGATATATATAATTCAGCCCAACCAAAGCCTTAACAGATTAAAAAAAAATCACTTTTACCAACATTTTTTGCCTCATACTAGAATTTGTCTTGCAAGATTAATTGATCCATTCATAACATCTTTGTTCAAAGTCCTCTTGGTTTTTTCCTGGTCCGAAATGATAAAATCATTTTTGATTGGACAAAAAAAGGGGTGTGGGTGGGGGGGGGGGTAGGGGGGGGGAGGAAGGAAGGTCGTT